TTTTTTCTTTTTCTTTTTTTCTTTTTTTTTTTTTTTTTTTTTTTTTTTTTTTTTTTTTACTTTTTTAAGCTAATAAGTTCCCGCACAGAACAGTTACCAATAGGGGGCCTTAGAGCTCTTTTAGGAACATTATTGTTTCTCATCCTCTCCTATTTGCCAGAAACATGACCACCTCAATATTGCATTAATAATCAATCTTGACTTTTCATTTATTTTTTTCACATATAATCAATAATCAATAACTATTTTATAAAATAAATATAACTTACAAGACTTCATACCATAAATTTCAATAAATGTCCACTGTATTGAAAACATATATTCTAGAGCACCGTCTATACAAACACGATGTATAAGTTGGATTGACATGACAATCTTCTTTTCACTCAATAAGATGAAGGGGAAGAATGTTGTTATAGCATTTGTATTTATAAAAGGAAAATTGTGTGTATTTATATGATGTACAGTGAAAGAGAGAAGCAAGCGGAAAGGCATTAGAAAAGAGGAGCATAGACAAAGTGGCGATGAGATTTAGAAGTCTTGATGTGGTTGATTTTTTTATGGGGGTATGGGGTAGAGAGGCGTAGAGGTACAGGAAAATCTCTCATGGAGTGGAAGAAGATCCAAACATCTGGTCTAGTAGGACGAGGAGGGCCATGGCTACTGTGGTATCTATCTGAGGCTGGACGACGAGCCGGAATACGTCCATCCCGAAGCTCATCCCTCCCGCTGCCTCCTTGCGTTTTATCTCCGCCACTATTCTCCGCTTCTCATCGTACACCGCACAGCATCTTTTCCCGTAACACCCCTCGATCTCATACGTACACATACCCATACCTGACCACGATCCTTCAACAATACGAGCCAAGCACTTGGATTTAAGCAGATTCATTTGCTTCCTCGCCGAGAACCGAGGATTCACGCCACTTTCTCCCTCGTAAACCACCCAGCTATCGGCTAGGCTCAATCTCTATATGTATGCATGCATTTTATATTATTAAACCAAAGTTGTTTGTGATTATATAAAACTCAACTAAAATAGAAGAGAGCGTGCAAACAGTACCTTGCGACGGATGGTGAAAAGAGGGTTTCCAGTGGCGTCCATGAGAAGGATTTGGGCCTTATTGCCGGCGAGGTAGTTGTCGACCCTGTAAGCCAAGTTACCGTTGGCGTCAAACACGGTAAACCCCTCGCAGTTCAACAACATAGATTTCTTCCACACGGTGAGGACAGTCTGGGTGGCGTCGGTTAAGGAGGAGGAAGCCCCGTTTGGGAATACCTTTGTCATTACTTACAATAATATTATTTACCTTCTCTTCTTCTCCTCGTGTGTGTGGTCAGGTTTATGTATTTATATTTTGGTAGTAGAGCAGACGAAGAACGTGCGGCTGCCCTTGCCCGCCTGCCTACCCGGGGTGAACGCGAAGCTCCCCGTCCCCGTCCCCGTCCCCATCCCCATCCCCATCCCCATCCCCATCATGGTGTGATGTCTCTTTGTTTGATTATGGACTTTGGACTTTGGACGGGGGGTGAGAACAAACAATTGTGACGGAGGGGAGAGAGAGAGTTCCACGCGCCCCTGTTGTAGTTCAATTTAATTTTATATTTATAATATGGCGATGGCCACCACAGTAGTTTAATATCCCAGCCTATACCCCGTCTTTCCAAATATTCCACGAAGTGCTGTTAAATTATTCTCACCACCATAGTATCCCAATAAATTATACAATTTTTAGTGGCTCAGAAGCAACGCCCATCCCGTCACCCATCGTTGTCTAACATATTTATTTCCTATTACTATTTTATATTTACAATTTTGGTCTTGTATTGGTGCGGCTGCCGCATTCAACTTAAATTATTGCCCCTCTACGGCTTGGGCGGTTGAGTGGAACCATGACCAATTTAGCCTTTGACTTTCTCCGCCCCTTCCATCCATCTATCACTAGTCATAAGTGAATAGTACGCAATGGTGTATCCAAATTACATTTACACGACGACTCCGCCAGGGGCCGTGGCCATGTGAACAAAAATTGTGCATCCACATAAACCGATTCCAATACATCTGATAGAGTCATAGCTACTGCCTTGAAGTTTTGTAAACTGAGTTTGTCTATTAGTGATAAAATCTTCTTTTGTGAGTCTTGTCAAAGCCGGCAGTAGGTATGGGCTTGGGAGGGATCCATATCGGTTGAAGAAGAGAACAAAACATTTCTAACAAGGGCATTTGATATAGTGTTATGATTCACACTTTGGGTGCGAGAGGTCCGAGTTCAATTCCCAGAACGCCCCTTCTAGAACTTTCTCCCATACAAAGACCTACCTTATTTATTTCCTTAATGCTTCTACGACTTTGAATAATGTTGAGCCAACTTCGTTGAAGTTTTGTGATCTGAGTTTGTCTATTAGTGATAAAATCTTCTTTTGTGAGTCTTGTCAAAACACCCCTTCTAGAACTTTCTCCCATGCAAAGACCTACCTTATTTATTTCCTTAATGCTTCTACGACTTTGAATAATGTTGAGCCAACTTCATTGAAGTTTTGTGACCTGAGTTTGTCTATTAGTGATAAAATCTTATTTTGTGAGTCTTGTAAAAGCCGTAGAAGGCAGTAGGGCTTGGGAGGTTACAAATGGTACCAGAGTCAGACACCGAACAATGAGCATTGTGAGATCTCACATCGGTTGAAGAAGATAACAAAGCATTTCAAACAAGGGCATTTGGTCTAGTGGTATGATTTTTGTTTTGGGTACGAGAGGTCCCGAGTTCGATTCTTGGAATGCCCCTTCTAGAACTTCTCTTATACAAAGACCTACCTTATTTATTTCCTTAATGCTTTTACGGCTTTGAATAATGTTGAGCCAACGTTGTGATCTGGGTTTGTCTAATTAGTTATAGAATCCGTTTGTATCTTCTTTTGTGAGTCTTGTCAAAGCCGTAGAAGGTAATAGCTATGGACAGAGCCAAACACCGGACGATTTACATTGTGAGATCTCACATCGGTTGAAGAAGATAACAAAACATTTTTAATAAGGGCATGTAGTCTAGTGGATTGCTTCTACAGCTTGCCTAAAGTTTTGTAATCTGAGTTTGTCTATTAGTGATTAGTGATAAAATCTTCTTTTATGAGTTTTGTTAAAGCCGTAGAAGGTAGTATCTATGGGCTTGTGAGGTTACAAATGGTATCAGAGCCATACACCGGGTGATGTGCATTGTGAGATCCCACATCAGTTGAAGAGGAACCGGGTGATGTGCATTGTGAGATCCCACATCAGTTGAAGAGGAGAACAAAACATTTATAACAAGAGCATTTGGTCTAGTGGTATGATTCTCACTTTGGGTGCGAGAGGTCCTGAATTCAATTCTCGAAATACCCCTTCTAGAACTTCCTTTTATACAAAGACCTACCTTATCCGGATGAGTACCGGTTTCACTCCATTGCTTCTATAGCTTTGGATAATGTTGTCCTCTTATACAAAGACCTAGGTTATTTATTTCCTTAATGCTTCTACGGCTTTGAATAATGTTGAGCCAACGTCCTAGGCATACATCTGAGATAGAGTCATAGCTACTGCCTTCAAGTTTTGTAAACTGAGTTTGTCTATTAATGATAAAATCTTCTTTCGGGAGTCTTTGTCAACAAAGAAAGTCGCATGCCCTTCCCTTTAATTCTTCATTATCTCTTACTACAAAGCCATTTGAACTTGAACATTGATCTGTGGGGACTTTTTCCCACAGCCTCCACTTGGGATTATTGATATTATATTAGCTTTGCTGATAACATCACTCGTTCACTCACATATCCTTTTAAATCCAATGGTGAATCACTCTCTGCCTTCATTCAACTTGACGGCAAAAGATTAAAACCTTACAAAGTGATTGGAAGGGGAACTACGCTTGTTTACCTCATGCATAAAAGACCATGGAATAGCTTTTGGACACCCTTGCCCACACACAAGCCAACAAAATGGCATTGTTGAATGCAAACACCGCCATATAGTCAAGACGGGCCTTTCTTCCTTGCTCAAGGCTCCATGCCCCTCTTTTGGTCAGATACTTTCATCTCCTATCCTATGTTTGCCTAATAAAGTGGCTTTCAACCCTAGTTCAAAAAATATTTCTCCATGGAAAAAGTTTCATAATAGATCCCCTGACTACATCTTCCTTCACTCATATGGATGTGCTTGCTTTCATCATGCCTTCATCCCTACCAAAAGTGTCTTCCTAGGTTGTAATGAAGCTGACAAGGGTTACAAGTGTTTAAGTTCAACGACTATTTGTTTCTTGTCATGTCATATTCAACTAGTGTTTTCTTTAAGGATGGTTTTCTAGTCTCCTCTATTTCCAAGAGTCAATCCATTGATACTGTTGTTAACTTGCTGAATTTTCCCTCCCATTAGCCCCACACCTGCTATCACTGGCAAACAATTGTCTCATCTGGATGGCGAACCTATGGATAATCCAACTCTCTACCGCAATGTTACTGGAGCTCTCCAAAACTTGATGCATACAGGCTCAGACATCTCTTACAGGCCCAACATCCTCCCATTGGCAGGCTATTAAAGGGTGCTCCAGAAGGGTACACTTGAATTACGGCCTTTTCTCTCTAAATATAACAATTTATCTTTGGTTGCATATTGTGATGCAAACTACTAACGCAAGTCCACAGCTGCACATTGTATTTTCCTTGTCCACTCATTTGTGTCGTGATGTTCTAAAAAGAAACATGTGGTTGCCCGTCCTAGACCTGAGTCTGAATATTGTGCTCTTGCTCATAATGCAGCTGACTTAAGCTTAGATTCAATCCCTCCATGGTGAATTATTGTTGTTGCCTTCTTCTCCTCCCATTATATGGTGCGATATTGTGAGTGAATTATCTCTCGCAGCCAGTCTCGTTTTTCATGCTGCAACAAGCATGTTGAGCTTGATGTTCATTTCGTGCAAGATAAGGTCATTGCAAAGACTCTCGATGTTGGGTATGTTCCCTCCTCAAATCAACTTGTTGATGGGTCAACAAAGCCTTAGTCTGAAGTTCATTTTTGTGGGTTGTGTTCCAAACTCGATGTGACTGCATTACCCTCTCATTCGTAGGAGAATGTTAGAGAAAAGGATTGATCTGACGTCATTTCTCTCTATTCTCATTTACTAGCAAATGGTGTTGCTTGATTTGTTTTACTTCTTATTGTTTTCTGGTTCCTTGTACCACATGGCTCTCTCTCATGGGGTAGCAAATATTCTCCCCATCCTCTTGTGTATTATTTATACTCAGCCATAAGGCATGAAATAATTCATTCGAGCTTCCTACTCTATTCCACTAGATAGAAATCCTGAAAATTCACCAACTTCAATGGCCATATTTCCCATCATTCAGGCCAAGGAATGCAGCCCAAACATCAACCATATACTAAATCTCATTCCTATGACAATCATTACGCCAACGAAACACATCTGAAAAGAATTCTGAACGGCGACGGGCCGGGTGGAAATAAATATTCGCTCACGGGCAAAGCAAAGAAGGAAGGACAACCCACCCCCCC